CTCACATGGGATGATGCCCTCGGCGGTTGGTTACCCGTAGATGACGGTGCGCTTTGCGGTGTATCTTTATTGCAACAGGTAGAGCTTCATTTCGTTATACGTCAGTATTATTTGATTGGCGAGTTGGCTTCTTAATCCATCTTAATCCCCTTCAATGAATCAAATTATGTGCTGAGTTGAAGTTGGAAACGAATCATACTCAGTAAGAAAAAGCTCGTCACGATTATTAGAAATCTTATCCCAGTTGACTGGGCACTCATAAAGAGATGCTCTCTAGTTGTCTCTTTCAAGATCACGTGTCAACAGTGTCTATCCCCTTCAGTGGTACATCCTGTAAAAAGAAGCTCATGGAGTGGTGTGCTTTCACAGGTTTGTCGCTATTGATCATTTGAGTACATCTTTTGAACTATTGCAATTCCCGATGCACATTCCACAAAATTGTATCTTCGACTCAACAAAATCAATTCCCTCAAGTGTATAAATCAAAAAGTGCAGACATTATTCACAAATTTCAAAATTTTCTTCCAGAAGTCGCTCAATGCACCGAACATGATCATGGCTCCACAGTGGGAATATCAAATACAAGGGAAACGAATCTCCGATCAGACGGTAAGATATGTTTGAGGCCATATTTTCTTCTTGATCGAACAATAAGCTCATTGATTCCATTGTATTAAAGAATTTTTGAGTAAGTAAAGAATACAAGCGAGCTAAATTTGCGATGCGATTCTCGCTGGTCGAAGACTAGTATTGATGTTGAAAGTGAAAGGAAACGGTCGACTCAAATCTCTTTTATGTTTAGATTTTCTTCGTATCTGTCAGCACTCGAAAATTTTATCCGAACACAATGATCAAACCATATCAGTGTTAAAAAGTATTTTTAAAATTTTATTGTTAATTTTTGAAAGAGTTAAGGTACTGTTGAATTGTACATTGATGCCACATATCACGTATCGAAACGCGATGCCAACCTTCCATCATTGGCGCATCAAAGATCAACGTTTCGGGCTTTCATTCGGTTCGGCCTATGATGCCTCCAAATTCTACAATCGTCTTCAGAAGGCATTGGAACATTTGTGCCATCAAAGCAAATCAAGTGAGTTGTATTCAAAAGGAACAAACTCATCTTGTGTTTAAGCAGTAGTTCCTCATATGAGATTGAGGCAAATTTATCCCTTACAGAGAATTTTTAAGACGACATTAGCAAATTATTGACGACATTAGCAAATTAACCGATTTTTTCAATATAATTCCCGTGAGGAAGTACTTGCGCTAAGTCATATGGCCCAGAAAAGACAAGAAACGCAAGAGCCTATGAACTAAGATTATAGCCCATGCAATTTACCACATAACCAAAATTAAACTAAGTCGCTTTAGTTCAGTCCTCACACGTGTTTTTAACTTCATTCTCAACTATCACCGTGTTGTACAAGTGTCTTTGTCAGTTCTTATCGTTGATCTGTTCGATTCTTCCAAAAAGCTGAATTTTTTGGTGTCCTCGTATTTCATATATTTGGAATCATAAATTTATTGTTAGCTGATTATTTTGAGTCAGTCACGATTATCTAAACTAATTCTTACAATATTTCACTTTCCACATTCCCAACAACACCCCATTCCATCGCACAACTGTCAGTTTAATACTGGTTATCTCATTCTAATCTGTGAAATAATAATGTGTATATCTATGTGTATATCGTCGTGTTGTATCAGGCAACGCCAGATATTCACGTAGAGTAACGAACACATATGGCATGCTTATGGCCGTTCAGACACAATATTCTCATTCGAATTTTGGCATCTTTCTTTACAAGGACGGCGGCACTGGTTTAGCCGTAAACAATATAATAGAAAAAAGTACAGAGAGAAACTAATTGGTGCAGATAATGTGTTTATGTATTGGTATTGTGTTGGATGCAAACGAGGGTGCTGCTGCCCAAGCTATTAAAGCACCATTTCCTCGACTCTATCATTTAGCAGTGCGTTCGCTTTCGAATCAAAATATTCCATCCTATCTTCGGAATAATTTCTTGCCGTAATGAAGCCCCAATCTGATTGATTCATCAGATTTTGGCTGTTGCTTGAAATAAAATTTCCAAAAATCAATTGTGAATCTATTATTTTGGTTTAAAGAACTCTAATTCTCTCTGAATAATGTGATTTCCAATGAAAAATGAATGCGTTCTTCGCGAAGTACTATGGCAAGCAATTGCTTT